ATTTTACTTAAAAAACAAATGACAAGCAAAAAGGGGGATGATTTCCCAAAGTGGAAGGCGGGACATCATGTTTGGCGGGGTCTTTTCCCCAAGAGGCAAGGTGGCAGATGTAAGTCACCAGACAACAAGGTGACTAATAGAAGGGCACCAGAACACCCCCCCCCCAAATGGGCATAAAGCCGTATGGAAAAGCCGAATATATTAATTCAAATCATTCAAACCAAAGGGTATATATAATAAAAGAATTTATGCAGTCAAGAATGGTCCATAATACGATATATCAAAAGATGAGACTTGACCATGTCTTGCAGCAAGGTTAATGTTATGGGAACAAATAGAATTTCACTCGGTAATAGATGTGGACAACTCAAGGGAAATAGAGTGGTACATTTTACAAATAATATTTTCTCCAAGGAATGGAACTCTTATGACATCAGCATCCCTAGACATTTGGACAATTTCATGCCCCCCAACTTTGTGGGAAGAGTTTGTGTATGGCCTCTTCCTGTTCCAACATGACTGCACACCAGTGCACAAAGCTAGGTCCATAAAGACACGGAGGAGCAAGTTTGGGGTGGAGGAACTTGACTGGCTGCACAGAGTCCTGACCTCAACCCCATAGAACACCTTTGGGATGAATATTAGAGTGGTGACTGCGAGCCAGGCTTCTCGTCCGACATCAGTGCCTGACCTCACAAATGTACTTCTGGAAGAATGGTCAAACCTTCCCATAGACACCCTCCTAAACCTTGTGGACGGCCTTCCCAGAAGAGTTGAAGCTGTTATAGCTGCAGAGTGTCATCTCAATATTGAACCCTACAGACTCAGACTGGGTTGCCATTAAAGTTCATGTGCATGGAAAGGCAGTCAATCCTATACTTGTTGCAATATAGTGTATATGCCCCCTCCCACACGCACCTTCCCCCAGTCCCTGGGTTCTCTGCTCCCCAGTGAAATCCTGCTGTTAAGCATACAAGTTCCAGAGGGCTGTTCTGCAAAGTGTGAGTGCCCTGAATGGCAGACCATGGCTATCTAATGTCCGTTTTTAATACACTACATCTAACACCATATCAATGGGTTGCATTAGCTGAACTCAGCACTGTTGTGTATGCCAAATCAGATATAGCATATGTGAAAGGGAAAATTGCAAATCTGCATGCCATATTCAAGAAAGAATTCTTTTACAAAGGGTTTTATTATAGAATAAGCAGAAATAAACACACATTCGGGAAAGATATACATTGACCAACAAATATGAGACATACAGGACATTTTTAGAAACATTTCAGAGCAAATACTGGTAGAAACATAAGCATAATCTGATTATTTATATATTCAAGAAAGAATTCAATTGAATTAACAATTCAAAAAGGTCTGGTGCAGGTGCAGATGATGTACTGTATATGTTCCACACCTGTGGTATTTGGAAAGTCTACATTGCCTTCCTGACCAGGAGGAATCACAACCCTCTTTGTCAAGTTTAGGAGGTTGTACAGGAAATATGTCAGCTGAAGAAGAAGATGGGACCATAGAGGAAATGTCAGACAGTCAGGTAAGTAATTATCAGGGGAGGACTGACAACTCATGGGGCCCCCCTGGGCAATAGGGGATCATGGAGCCCCTGTGTCCTGGCCCAAACTCAAAAAAGCCTATGAAAAAGGTACCAGGGGCATCTCATGGGGCCCCCTACTGACCCCGGCCCTCAGGCAGTGCCTGAGTTTCCAAATGGTCAGTCCAGCCCTGGTAATTATACAGGGTTTTATTGAACCTTTGTAAATGTACAGATCAGGTATGTTAATGCAGAATAAAGATAATTTGTCTTCACAAATATAATTCACATTAATGTAATACTGAACATAAAATTACAACTTTCAAGTTTATTTTTAACGTAAGCACAGGGGCGGACTGACTATTTGAAAACTCGGGCACTGCCCGGGGTCAGTAGGGGGCCCCATGAGATGCCCCTGGTACCTTTTTCATAGGCTTTTTTGAGTTTGGGCAAGGGCACAGGGGCTCTATGATCCCCTATTGCCCGGGGGGCCCCATGAGTTGTCAGTCCGCCCCTGCGTAAGCATAGCATGACATCTGCAAAAGCACAGGTACCCCGAATTTGACAGGTACCCACTCCCACTCTGCTGCGATCACCTAGGCAATAGGAACGGAAGTTGTCCTCCCCACTCCCTCCCTGTAGTCTTCTGGGACACATGACAGACCCCAGAAGACTACGGGACCATTCACTAAGCTCAGCGCATGCGCAGTGGGCACCAGGCTGTGAAGATGCAAGCTGTCACAGCCAGGTACCCACACTGAAGATGCCGGCACCAGGGAGAGAAGATGGCCGGTGAAACCAGTTGTGGTGAGGACACCAGTGGACCCTGGGACAGGTAAGTGTCTGTATTTTAAAAGTCAGCAGCTACAGTTTTTGTATTTATTGATTTTTTTTCAGGTGGAACTCCGCTTTAAATAGACCACTGGGCGCCAGTGTTAGTGGCGGTTGTGCACGTGCATTCATATGCACACATCTATGCACAGCAAAATCAGCACCTGCAGGTCTATGCATCTGTATGCACCTTGAGCCTTCATCTGTACTATGGCCAGTGCTTCCCTGACAAAAGCCTATTACCACATTTTTACCAAAACTATATTGCACCAATACCAACCCCTTTACTGCAGTTATATCGAACTGTCACTGCATTTGACACACATCTACACTGCACCTGTAACACATCTTTACCCTGCCTTTACTGCATCTTTACTGCAACTACATAGCAGTTTTATTAGCCACTTTCCATCCGGCCGTTGTATATAAACGGCCAGATGGTGGCAGTGCAGGGTCGGGTGGCCATTTATAAACCGCCTCCCCGCCCCCTGCTTGTGCGCACTCCCAGGGAGCACGCAGCACCGCGATCCGGTGCCCGCTGTGTCCAGAGGACACAGTGGAACAACAATCGTCATTCGGGACCTCTGTGCGAGGTCCCGATCATGTGATCACTGATTGGCCAATCAGTGATCACATGCAGAGTAGTAAGCAAGATGTCACTTCTGACATCATTGCTTACTACCTCCCACACTCCAAAGACATGCTGGTAGGCTAATTGGCTCCTGTCTAAATTGGCCCTAGTATGTATGAATGTGAATAAGGGACCTTAGACTGTACACCCCATGAGGGTTAGGGACTGATGTGAATGTATAATATATATGTAAAGCGCTGCGTAAATTAACGGCGCTATATAAGTACCTGAAATAAATAAATAAATACTACGTGTGAAATCTGTGAATGATCACAGAGGTCACATGGTATAAGGCTATTCACAACAGCCTTGTACCATGTGACAAGCTGTGACCAATCACAGCTCACACAGTATTTCTCAATGGCTGCAAGAATGCAGCCAGAGAGAAGGAGTAATGATTGCTTTTACAGCCTTTATGGGTGTAAAAGCAATCAGTGTAAAGAAAAAAAAAAAAAATCTTCATCACCCCTCACAAGTCGTACAGTGTCACCATGGTGACACTGTACTACTAGAGCAGTGGTTCTCAACCTTTCTAATGCCGCGACCCCTTAATACAGTTCCTCATGTTGTGGTGACCCCCAACCATAAAATTATTTTCGTTGCTACTTCAGAACTGTAATTTTGCAGTGGAGGACTAGCGCCCCATCACTGATGTCAGTGGAGGAATAGTGTCCCATCGTTGGTATCAGTGGGATGAATAGTGCCCCATCGTTGGTGTCAGTGGGAGGAATAGTGCCCATCGTTGGTGTCAGTGGGAGGAATAGTGTCCCATCGTTGGTATCAGTGGGAGGAATAGTGCCCCATCGTTGGTGTCAGTGGGAGGAATAGTGCCCCATCGTTGGTGTCAGTGGGAGGAATAGTGCCCCATCGTTGGTGTCAGTGGGAGGAATAGTGCCCCATCATTGGTATCAGTGGGAGGAAATAGTGCCCCATCATTGGTGTCAGTGGGGGAATAGTGCCCCATCATTGGTGTCAGTGGGAGGAATAGTGTCCCACCAGTGGTGTCAGTGGGAGGAATAGTGTCCCCACCAGTGGTGTCAGTGGGAGGAATTAGTGTCCCACCAGTGGTGTCAGTGGGGAGGAATAGTGTCCCACCATTGGTGTCAGTGGGAGGAATAGTGCCCCATCGTTGGTGTCAGTGGGAGGAATAGTGCCCCATCGTTGGTGTCAGTGGGAGGAATAGTGCCCCATCGTTGGTGTCAGTGGGAGGAATAGTGCCCCATCGTTGGTGTCAGTGGGAGGAATAGTGTCCCATCGTTGGTATCAGTGGGAGGAATAGTGCCCCATCGTTGGTGTCAGTGGGAGGAATAGTGCCCCATCGTTGGTGTCAGTGGGAGGAATAGTGCCCCATCGTTGGTGTCAGTGGGAGGAATAGTGCCCCATCATTGGTATCAGTGGGAGGAATAGTGCCCCATCATTGGTGTCAGTGGGGGGAATAGTGCCCCATCATTGGCGTCAGTGGGAGGAATATTGCCCCATCATTGGCGTCAGTGGCAGGAATAGTGCCCCATCATTGGCGTCAGTGGCAGGAATAGTGCCCCATCATTGGCGTCAGTGGGAGGAATAGTGCCCCCATCATTGGCGTCAGTGGGAGGAATAGTGTCCCATCATTGGCGTCAGTGGGAGGAATAGTGTCCCACCAGTGGTGTCAGTGGGAGGAATAGTGCCCCATCGTTGGTGTCAGTGGGAGGAATAGTGCCCCATCGTTGGTGTCAGTGGGAGGAATAGTGCCCCATCGTTGGTGTCAGTGGGAGGAATAGTGCCCCATCGTTGGTGTCAGTGGGAGGAATAGTGCCCCATCGTTGGTGTCAGTGGGAGGAATAGTGCCCCATCGTTGGTGTCAGTGGGAGGAATAGTGCCCCATCGTTGGTGTCAGTGGGAGGAATAGTGCCCCATCGTTGGTGTCAGTGGGAGGAATAGTGCCCCATCGTTGGTGTCAGTGGGAGGAATAGTGCCCCATCGTTGGTGTCAGTGGGAGGAATAGTGCCCCATCGTTGGTGTCAGTGGGAGGAATAGTGCCCCATCGTTGGTGTCAGTGGGAGGAATAGTGCCCCATCGTTGGTGTCAGTGGGAGGAATAGTGCCCCATCGTTGGTGTCAGTGGGAGGAATAGTGCCCCATCGTTGGTGTCAGTGGGAGGAATAGTGCCCCATCGTTGGTGTCAGTGGGAGGAATAGTGCCCCATCGTTGGTGTCAGTGGGAGGAATAGTGCCCCATCGTTGGTGTCAGTGGGAAAAATAGTGCCCCATCGTTGGTGTCAGTGGGAGGAATAGTGCCCCATCGTTGGTGTCAGTGGGGGGAGGAATAGTGCCTATCATTGGTGTCAGTGGGGGGAGGAATAGTGCCTATCATTGGTGTCAGTGGGGGGAGGAATAGTGCCCCATCGTTGGTGTCAGTGGGAGGAGGAATAGTGCCCCATCGCTGGTGTCAGTGGGGGGAGGAATAGTGCCCCATCGTTGGTGTCAGTGGGGGGAGGAATAGTGCCCCATCGTTGGTGTCAGTGGGGGGAGGAATAGTGCCCCATCGTTGGTATTAGTGACACAAATGATGGGGCACTATCCCTTCCACTGACACCAATGATACTTACCTTGCTGACCCCTGCTCCAGCCTGGGATCGCTCTCTCCCTCTCCCATCTACAGCCTGCAGAAGCAAAATTTGCACTTACCTGTCAGCTGTCTTCCTTCTCTGGCCGCTCTCCTCTTCACTCGCTCCTGCAGTTCCTCGATCTTCTTCGATCTGCGCGCTCTGCCGCTCGGCTCCTCCTCTCCAAGCTCCACCTCCTCGCCGGTGATTGGCCGCCTGTGTGCCTCTCCTGAGCTACAGTTCTGGTGGCCAATCAGCGGCGAGGAGGCGGTGACAGGGGCAGCATATTTCGCCCACACATCGCCGGAGACAGGAGCGGTGTCTCGGTTCCTAAGACCATCGGAAATATGTGTTTTCCGATGGTCTTAGGCGACCCCCTGGGAAATGGTCGTTCGACCCCCAAAGGGGTCGCGACCCCCAGGTTGAGAACCGCTGTACTAGAGTGACAGTATGAAAAAAAAATAATAATAATATAAAAAAAATAAAAATGTAAAATTGTTTTTTTTTTAGTTATAATTTTTGGTTATAAACTAATTTGGGTTATTTTGTTTTTACTAAAAGATAGCTGAATACATTTTGGCCAAGATTTATGATGAAATATTATTTATTTGCAAAATGTTATAAGAAAAACACTTTTTTTCAACATTTTTGGACATTTTCATTTATATAGCAAAAAAAAAAAAAAAAAGAAATCCCAGTGGTAAATAAATACCACCAAAATAAAGCTTTATCTGTCTCAAAAAAAAATGCTAAAAAATTCATATGGGTACAGTGTTGCATGACCGCACAATTGTCATTCAAAGTGTGATAGCGCTCAAAGCTGAAAATTGGCCTGGACAGGAAGGGGGTGAAAGTGTCCGGACTTGAAGTGGTTAAGGTTTGTAGTTGGTGTTTGAATCCAACATTGTTCACTGATCCTTCAAATCTGCACCCAAAAAACTAACTCTAAATAACTGTTCTTATTTACAAAAGAACACTTTGGATAATATATCCCCCTTAACCATTTGGGAGGCACACAAATACGATTCGAGGGGAATTGAAGTCTGGCATCTAAATGGAAAAAGGAAGCTGAAGAATCCATATTAGCCTTCGTGACAAAAATGTCTAACTTAGAATGTCGACATAAACACTCAGTGGCACTACAAATGGAGAATGAGCTTTTGGAAACCCATTGTGAATTACAAACTCTTTTAAATTTGAAAGCGAAACGCATTCTATTTTTTAAAAATGAATTATTTTATGAACAGGAAGTGGGAAGTTTCTGGCTAGAGCCTTACATGAGGTTCGGACTTCCTCCAATATCCTTAGGATAAAAACATCCATTAATAAGATATCCAGCAATACAGATCAAATTGCGGAGGAAATTCAAAATATTATTCCAAGTTGTATAACCTCCCTCTACAACATAAATCTCTAATCCTACAGGGAAATAGAACTCAGATTATACAAGACTATCTCTTACAGAGTGATATGCCTAGGTTGGAATCAAAA